AAGACCCTGCGGCCCTGCATTGATTATCGCGATTTGAACAAAATCACGAGAAAAAATCACTACACACTGCCTCTGGTTCCAGAACTTTTCCAGCAGTTAAAATCAGCAGTGATCTTTAAGAAACTAGACTTGAGGGGTGCATATAACCTGGTCCGCATAAGGGAGGGGGATGAGTGGAAAACGGCATTTCGTACTCTATTTGGGCTCTTCGAGTATTTAGTCATGCCATTCGGACTTTGCAATGCCCCGGCCACGTTCCAACACTTTATCAATGATGTATTTCGAGATTACCTTGACCTCCTGTTGCTGAACCTGGCCTGTGACCCGACGATCTCTCTGCCTGCTTCTCTGGTCTGCTCTGCCACCTCGGATACCAAACCCGGCCTGCCTGACTCCGCTACTTGCCTCACGGTGCATCCGCATCCATCCATCCTGCACGGATCCATCCACATCCTGCTTTGGTCTACTCTGCCTCACCATTCATCCTGCACGGATCCATCCGCATCCTGCTCTGGTCCACTCCTCCTCAGTCCTGCTACTTCACCAGACGGATCCCAGGCCCTCTTACTCCACCACGCTCCTGTGACTGCTGTCTCACTCCCAGCGGTTCCCCAGCCGGGGTTGTACGAGAGGTCTGCCTCTTCACGTCAGGCTCACCACTAAGGAACGTGACAGCCACCTTCACAGACAAAGGTACGTGACACCTGCCTTCACAGACAAATGCATATATCAATGCCTTTAGGGATACTGTATTTAAAGACCTTGAAGCGATCAAAATAAAAGCAGCCAGGACTCACGAGTCTTCTCAAAAAGCTATTAACTCCCTTTCAGAGAGAAAGGATCTTGTTGTCCGTCCAGCGGACAACGGAGGAGGGGTAGTGGTCCTGAGCAAGACCAAATATATGAAGGAAGTATACAATATTTTAAATGCTGAAAATACCTACCTTCCCTTACATAAGAATCCATTGGGACAATTTAGGAAAACACTTAAGGCTATTATCCAAAAGGGATATGAGGAGAAAAATATTAATAAAAAAAAGAGAAACATTTCCTTTGTCCCTCAGCTCCTAAGCTCCCAGTATTATACATACTTCCCAAAATACATAAAAACCTCACAAACCCTCCTGACAGACCCATTATAAGCGAAATTGGGTCCTTATGTTCAAGAGCTGGCGAATACAGCCCCTTGTAACCAAAACCCTGGCATACTTGAGGGATACCAAGCAAGTACTTCAAGAAATTAAAAATGTGACCTTGGATCCCACTACATTTCTTATCACAGCATATGTGACTTCTTTATATACTAATATTAATCACTCTGATGGTAGGGAAGCTGTGACATTCTTTTTAGATTATTTTAATGGGATGTATATTTTACAGAAATATTTTTATATTAAAACTTTTCGATTTTGCGATGACAAAAAAATTATTTTTGGTTCGACCATAAATTTTACTTACAAACAAAGGGGGTTGCAATGGGAGCAAAATTTTATTGGTGGGAGGAGGACACCATATATGCGAGAGAATGGCCGGAACTCTCCCTGTATAAGAGGTATATTGATGATATCCTCCTGGTGTGGAATGGTGACGAGTAGTCACTTATTAATTTTTTTGGTACCTTAAATAACAATACACTAAATATTAAACTCACTTTTAATTATAGCAGATGCAGTATTAATTTTTTAGATTTGACTTTACTAAACCAGGGGGGCAGAATTGTCATGGAGTTCTTTTTTAAACAAACTGATAGAAATAGCTATATACCGTTGGACGTTAGTCTTTATATATTCCGTATTTACATGGAATGCCATATTTATCTATGTTTTTTAGACAAATATGTTTTGACTTATTAAATTCTATGATTTTATTTATTTATGTTACACTTGTTAGATAATTGTTAACTGACATCTTATATGTAATTTGATATATTATTTATGATCATTTTTTATCACTATGTTTACCAGTTTATTCATTTTATCTGACATCCTCATTTTGATGTCACCATATGGATTGTACTGATTCAACTATAATTTAATCATTAATTTTGCACATGCATATGATTAAATGATCTGATCGTTAAGATCTGATCACATATGTGTGTAGGGTGGTTTCCACTGCGCATGCGCAGTAATCATTAGATCCGGTGGGTATTGTAATATTGATGACATCTTTAATTAAGATTTTCTGCCCCTCACCCTTATTGGAGAAATAAGGATAGATATCCCTGTTTCCTTTTTCCTGGTTAAAGAGTATATTCTCCAGTATTAATTTCCGTTCTGGTAAACTAAGTGATTAACACCGCCAACAAAATGGCGCTGCAATGCGAACGCATTTCCATTGACGTGTTATTTACTTTTTGGTCCATGGCAAAATGGCGCCGAAGCACTGCGCATGCGCCAGGTAGCCGGCAAAATGGCGGGCACAATATGCACGCGCACCATTTTTGCCATAAATAGAACTATTTGGACATCTGACGCTGTAAGCTTACACCCTATGACTATGTGCTAGAGCACGAAACGCGTCAGTGAGGGGCTACAGCATCTTGACGTCACGCTGCTGGCGGCCATCTTGGATGTACATGGTCAGTCTGTTTGCTCTCTGTTTATGCACCCTGATTTGGAAATAAAATGACTTTGATATATGCAGTATCACGCTATGTGGCATCCTTTTTTGGGCTCTCTGAGTCTCACCATTCACAGAGCCTATTTTAGAGGAGACCCGATGCAGTGATACCAATTGAGGGACCCTGAAGGGAACAGGAACCTGGCCTTTCACTGGAGTGGATGATCCACCTTCAACTCCCTACTCTCTCCCCCCCACCCCCACCCAGTACCTCACTCACCGCCCACGAGATTGCCGAACACTTCCAGAATAAAATCGATGCAATCCTTACGGATATCCTTACGGACATCACCAATGCTCAACCCACCTCCCCACCTGGCCTCCCCCCCACCATAGCCCCATCAACTCTCCCCTCCTCTGACCTCGCTACCGCCCTAACACCCACCACACCAAACATCCCGCACAGCTTCACCTCCCCTACTGTCAGGGCTCCCGGGTATGACCAGAGGTGTGTGACTGACGCAGGGAAACGCAGACTTCAGATAAGTTATAAACAATTTATTAACACTAACAATACAAACATAAACGCAGTGCAATACTAAAACATAACACAGTGCAAACAAACCAAATCAAACCACCCACAGATAACAGTACATACAGTGCAAGCGTCAGGCAGGCCGGGTCAATATCAATCGGGCAGGTAGGTACAGGGGGAGCAAGCGGAGAATAGTCAGGTCACGAGCAGGGTACAGCAACTAACAGGCAGGTAGGTACAGGGGGTCAGGCAGAGAATGGTCGGGGTCAGAAGCCAGGGATCAGAACAGGAGAAGTCAGCAGAGGTCAGAATCAAGCCGGGTCAGCAACAAGACAGGAACAGGAGCAGGAACAGGATGCAGGAACAAGATACAGGGCCCAGGAAAAACACAACACCAAGGCAGAGTCTGCAGGTCTGAATGTCCCTTAAATACACCAGTATAATTAGTTCCAGGTGTTTGACTGGCTGCAAGGTTGAGTCTCTGATTGCTGGGAGCACCCCCTGGCCAGCCCTGGTACTGCAGCTCACAAGGCAGGTGAGTCCCACTATTGCTGGGCAGTCCATTCCTCACAGTACCCCCCCCTCAAGGAGCGGCCTCAGGACGCTCCAAACAGTCCTAGCTGGGCAAAATGTTCCACCGCCCGGGTCTGGTAACTGGCGGGATATCAAAGATTGGCACACACCGGGCAGCGGCACATCGGGCAGCGGCACATCGGGCAGCCACATCGGGCAGCGGCACACCGGGCAGGCACACCGGGCAGAGGCACACCGGGCTGAGGCACATCGGGCTGGACCCCGGGCAGAGGCACATCGGGCTGGACCCCCGGGCAGAGGCACATCGGGCGGGCCGGGCAGAGGACATCCGGGCAGAGGCACATCGGGCTGGACCCCGGGCAGAGGCACATCGGGCAGGGCTGGACCCCGGGCAGAGGCACATCGGGCTGGACCCCGGGCAGAGGCACATCGGGCTGGACCCCGGGCAGAGGCACATCGGGCTGGACCCCGGGCAGAGGCACATCGGGCTGGACCCCGGGCAGAGGCACATCGGGCTGGACCCCGGGCAGAGGCACATCGGGCTGGACCCCGGGCAGAGGCACATCGGGCTGGACCCCGGGCAGAGGCACATCGGGCTGGACCCCGGGCAGAGGCATCGGGCTGGACTCCGGGCAGAGGCACTCGGGAGCGAGCAGAGGCACATCGGGCTGGACTCCGGGCAGAGGCACATCGGATTACCAGGTGAAGCAGCAGGCACCGGGCCCCCAGGCGGGGCGACAGGCATCGGGCCCCCAAGCGGAGCGGCGGGCGCCGGGCCCCCAGGAGGGGCGACAGGCATCGGGCCCCCAGGCGGGGCGACAGGCTCGGGCCCCCAGCGGAGCGGCGGGCGCCGGGCCCCCAGGAGGGGCGACAGGCATCGGGCCCCCAGGCGGGGCGACAGGCATCGGGCCCCCAGGCGGGGCGACAGGCATCGGGCCCCCAAGCGGAGTGGCGGGCGCCGGGCCCCCAGGCGGGGCGACAGGCATCGGGCCCCCAAGCGGAGTGGCGGGCGCCGGGCCCCCAGGAGGGGCGACAGGCATCGGGCCCCCAGGCGGGGCGACAGGCATCGGGCCCCCAGGAGGGGCGACAGGCATCGGGCCCCCAGGAGGGGCGACAGGCATCGGGCCCCCAGGCGGAGCGACAGGTCTCGGGCCCCCAGGCGGAGCGGCGGGCACCGAGTCACCAGGCACGACAGTGGGCACCGAGTCGTCTGGCAAGACTGCGGGCACCGAGTCAACTGGCGGAACTGCGGGCACCGAGTCGTCTGGCAAGACTGCGGGCACCGAGTCGTCTGGCAAGACTGCGGGCACCGAGTCGTCTGGCAAGACTGCGGGCACCGAGTCAACTGGCGGAACTGCGGGCACCGAGTCTGGCAAGACTGCGGGCACCGAGTCGTCTGGCAAGACTGCGGGCACCGAGTCAACTGGCGGAACAGCGCGGGCATCGAGTCGTCTGGCGGAACTGCGGGCACCGAGTCGTCTGGCAAGACTGCGGGCACCGAGTCGTCTGGCAAGACTGCGGGCACCGAGTCGTCTGGCAAGACTGCGGGCACCGAGTCGTCTGGCAAGACTGCGGGCACAGAGTCGTCTGGCAAGACTGCGGGCACAGAGAGTCGTCTGGCAAGACTGCGGGCACAGAGTCGTCTGGCAAGACTGCGGGCACAGAGTCGTCTGGCATTGGATCGTCTGGCTCGACAGCGGGCATCGGGTCACCAGGTATGACAGTGGGCACTGGGTCACCAGGCATCAGGTCATCTGGCTCGCCAGCGGGCACCGCGTCATCTGGCAAGGCAGTGGGCACCGAGTCACCAGGTACGACAGCGGGCTCTGAGTCAATTGGCACGACAGCGGGCACCGGATCAGGTACCGGATTATCTGGATCAACAGCGGGCATCGAGTCAACTGGCCTAATAGGATCATCAGGCTGGATCAGTTCATTATGCTGGGTAGAAGCATCCGGCTGAGTAGAGGCATCCGGCTGAGTAGAGGCATCAGGCTGAAGAGAGGCATCAGGCTGAAGAGAGGCATCAGGCTGAAGAGAGGCATCAGGCTGAAGAGAGGCATCAGGCTGAAGAGAGGCATCAGGCTGAAGAGAGGCATCAGGCTGAGTAGAGGCATCAGGCTGAGTAGAGGCATCAGGCTGAGTAGAGGCTTCAGGCTGAGTAGAGGCATCAGGCTGAGTACAGGCTTCAGGCTGAGTACAGGCTTCAGGCTGAGTACAGGCTTCAGGCTGAGTACAGGCATCAGGCTGAGTACAGGCATCAGGCTGAGTACAGGCATCAGGCTGAACCACGGAAGGCAGGTTCTCAGACGGTAGGCTCACCGGTTTGGATATACTGGCAGGATGGTACTGGTTGGAAAGAATTTTCGCTTTTTTCTGGTTTTAACTACTGGGGCACTGCAAGTAAACGCAGGTCTGCAAATGAATGGAGCAGCTGGAGACAGAGAAGAGCTGGAGGATGGAACAGGGGAAGGAACAGTCGCTACAGAGGGCTTCTTTACAGGGTTAAAGGCAGGATAGGTGCAGCGAGTGGGAACAGGGTACTGACATGCGGTAGATAGCCAAGTATACTGGGCTGTAACTGGAGGAGCTGTTGGGAATACAGGAGTAGAGCTTTGAGGAGATAGATTAGAAGCAGGACTGGGTCTTTGTAAGCTGACTGAGGCTGGGTGTAACAAATCTGTCCATGTCTGCAGTATGGGTTGAACAAAGCTGAGCTTACACAAAGCCTGTCTGACCAAAGACTGCACTGCGTTTATACAATCTCTTAGTACCTGTGGTGAACATGTGGAATAACGCTCCAGAAAGTAAACCCACATCATCCTCTAATAACCATACCAGGGACTCTACCTGGTCTGCACTAAATGGTGGCAAAAATTCATCCCTGCATTCGGGGGTACCAGATGAAACCAACTCAGCACAAACCTCAATCAATGGCTGCACCTCAGAGAACTCTGTGCCCTGATCTACTAGAACATGAGCGAGCCGTATACATTCTAGCAGTTCATCCCGGGTATACTCCTTCAGAGTTTGATAAGCATACTCCCTGTCATCAAACACTAGCAGATATAAATACGCAACCTCATCCAGATCCATCCTTCCCATCAACAAACCAAGATGGCTTCCCTGTGCAGCCACTTCTGGTCAGGATTGGCCTTGCTGTAATGTCAGGGCTCCCGGGTATGACCAGAGGTGTGTGACTGACGCAGGGAAACGCAGACTTCAGATAAGTTATAAACAATTTATTAACACTAACAATACAAACATAAACGCAGTGCAATACTAAAACATAACACAGTGCAAACGAACCAAATCAAACCACCCACAGATAACAGTACATACAGTGCAAGCGTCAGGCAGGCCGGGTCAATATCAATCGGGCAGGTAGGTACAGGGGGAGCAAGCGGAGAATAGTCAGGTCACGAGCAGGGTACAGCAACTAACAGGCAGGTAGGTACAGGGGGTCAGGCAGAGAATGGTCGGGGTCACAAGCCAGGGATCAGAACAGGAGAAGTCAGCAGAGGTCAGAATCAAGCCGGGTCAGCAACAAGACAGGAACAGGAACAGGAGCAGGAGCAGGATGCAGGAACAAGATACAGGGCCCAGGAAAAAACACAACACCAAGGCAGAGTCTGCAGGTCTGAATGTCCCTTAAATACACCAGTATAATTAGTTCCAGGTGTTTGACTGGCTGCAAGGTTGAGTCTCTGATTGCTGGGAGCACCCGCTGGCCAGCCCTGGTACTGCAGCTCACAAGGCAGGTGAGTCCCACTATTGCTGGCCAGTCCATTCCTGACACCTACACTCCACTCCTTCAGCCCTGCTACCTTTGAGGAGGTCACTAAGGTCTTCTCAAAAGCCCTCTCACCACTTGCCCCCTTGACCCTGTCCCCTCGCAACTCCTCCGGTCACCCTCCTCCTCCATCCTGCGCTCCCTCACCCACATCTTCAATCTCTCCCTCTCTACTGGCACATTCCCCTTCCCCCTAAAGCTTGCCCACATCACCCCCATTCTCAAAAAATCCTCCCTGGACCCCACTGACCTGAACAACCTCAGACCCATCTCACTGCTGCCATTCACTTCCAAGCTTCTTGAGCGCTTAGTTTACAATCGCCTATGCACCCACCTCCTCCGACAACAACCTCCTTGATCCCCTACAATCTGGCTTCCTCCCCCAACATTCCACCGAAACCGCCCTACTCAAAATCACTAACAACCTATCCGCCAAAGCTAATGGAGACTACTCAGTCCTCTTACTCCTCGACCTCTCCGCAGCCTTTGACACAGTTGACCACCCCCTCCTCCTTAACAAATTACACTCCCTTGGCATCAGAGACTCCGCTCTCTCCTGGCTCTCCTCCTATCTATCCCAACGCTCCTTCAGTGTTACCTATAATGCTGCCACCTCCCCCTCTCTCCCCCTCTCTGTTGAGGTCCCCCAAGGCTCTGTCCTTGGGCCCCTTCTCTTCTCCATCTACACCTCCTCCCTCGGCAAACTCCCATGGCTTCAACTATCACCTCTACGCCGATGACTCGCAAATTTACCTCTCCACCCCTCCTCACCCCTTCATTCTCCGCCCGTATCACCCACCTACTGAACAACATATCGGACTGGATGTCGCTCCACTTCCTCAAACTGAACCTTTCCAAAACTGAGCTCCTAATTTTCCCCCCTGCCCACCCCCCCCCCCCCACCCTCTTCATCACGACCAACAATGCTACCATCAGTCCCACCACGCAAGCCAAGGTCCTAGGTGTCATCCTAGACTCTAACCTGTCCTTCCAACCCCATGCCCAATCGCTGACTACCGCATACAGGTTCCACCTCCACAACATCTCCAAAATACGTTCGTTCCTAACCCCAGACATTACTAAACAACTCGTTCACTCCCTTATTATTTCACGCCTGGACTACTGCAACTCCCTTCTCACCGGCCTACCCCAAAACAAGCTATCCCCGCTCCAGTCTATCCTGAACTCAGTGGCCAGACCCATCCACCTTACCAACCAATCCACTTCTGCCACCCCCCTCTGTCATTCCCTCCACTGGCTCCCGATTGCCCAATGCATCAAATTCTAACTACTAACACTGACATACAAAGCCATTCATAACGCTGCCCCAAACTACCTCACCGACCTGATACCCAAATACCACCCTACCCATAATCTTCCCTCCTCGCAAAACCTCCTACTCTCTAGCTCCCTGGTCTCCACCTCCCACGCCCGACTGCAGGACTTCTCCAGAGCTTCCCCCATCCTCTGGAACTTACTTCCCCAATCCATCAGATTGTCCCCTACCCTCCTCACCTTTAGGTGCACCCTGAAAACCCATCTCTTTCAGGGAAGCCTACCCCACCCTCACCTAACAGCCGATCCCCTCCACTCCTCACTCCATTCCATCCCACACAGCCATCTCCTCCTGTATCACCATCCCCTCCCTCCTAGACTGTAAGCTCAAAAGGACAGGGCCCTCTAACCCTCGTGTATTGTGTATGGTTTTGCTACTGTATTGTCTCATGTCTTGTCCCCCATTCTAATGTACAGTGCTGAGCAAACCCTTTGGCGCTATATAAATACTAATAATCTGGCTGCCCTGATGAGACAGTTGTAATCTCAAATGCGTGATTTTAGAGTGCATCTGGTGAGTGCGCAATTCACTTATTACCAGTCACACCATCCGTCACTCCTGAATAAGAGATTTGAATACCTTTGCTGAGATCTTCTATGATCCCCACGTTCATTCATTGGACTTTCACTTATTTATCACTACAACCACTTTGATGTGGTTTTATATATTTTGCACTTTATATTTATCGTATTTTTAATGAATTTTATGGTTAGCACTTATGCCGCTAATTTGAGATATTATTTGCGCTTTTTGGCACCTTATAGTATTTGTATGTTGTTGATTGAATTATCAATTTTCATTTTTCCATCAAGCACCTTTTACATACTTGTGATATCAGCGCTGCACCTGTTTCATTGATAGGTGCCCATATGTACCTTGCAAGGTCAGGATTCAATAGCACTTAGAAATAAACATTCTATTTGTGAGTCAATGGAAAACCTTATCCTGGTATGTCTTGCCACCCATGGGAAGATCACCACCACCAGGGAGATATGATCATCTAAGAAAAAAGAGAAAGGGGAATATATGTGTATGCATATTATATAGAGAATGCCTATATCACTAGTAGAAGATCTACCTCGAAATTACATATATCTGTGATAGTAATCCAACCAAATAAACAATTATATGTAGGGACAATCCTTAATTCAAAAATGTTTTATTGTCTATATGTATAAATCTTTCTTACTGCATATCTAACAGACAGCAAAGTTATGCCATTTGTTATGTGTCCTAGGTTAACCTACACAAAAGTGGCAAAATAAATTGAAATAAATACTGGAGATCTTTTTAGCACCAAAAGGCTTGGGATAAAGTGAAATATCAACATAGGCTTACCTTAGGTGATGGTAAATTGTTAAATGTGCAAAAATAATATAAATCCCTATATCCTCACCCCCAATAAGGGATCACATGGGACAGGGTGGCAATCCCTGTAAAACAAAATAATATGTTCTTGCGCTCTTCTATGGATAACAATTACTCTTTTCATAAATCACCTCAGTGTAAAATATACAATATAAACTAAATTAGTTAGTTTTTCCAAAATAAATAGCCACTAATGCACCCAAACCTTATCTCATATCAGGTGAAATCCCACAAATATGTGTAAAATGAGTCCATTCATCTTCATTAGAATGCTTCCATCCTTCTGTAACAACCAAGTGCTCCAAAACATATATATGTGCAATTATTCTACCACCAGATGTCTGCTCATCTGCAGCAGTATGACCTCACATAATACTATGTTTGGTCTAATTACACTTTTGGTCCCAGTATGGATACTGTAGATCAACTTGATGGATCCCAGCTATCATTCACAACTTGTCCAGAATTTCACTCCAATCATCACATCACCTTTTTGTTGCTCTTCATAACAAAACATTTTCATTGTGTCATTACTTAAAATTAGATATATAACCATCTGTCACAGTCAGGTGTCAGGCTCAGAGACCAGTAGTTATAGCATCGGAAAAGCTCCCACCAACCAGCACGATGGTATACAAGCAGGCCACCCTGGCAGATGACGCAGGCTCACCTGACTTACTAACCCGTGTTCACCAGAGCTCCTGATGGTGGAGATGGGGTTTGCTGCGTGTTAGTACCAGTTTGCGATCCTCAGGATTGCCCCA